TGGTGCTGGTGAGTCTGCTCTCTCATGTACTGCATCGGCTTCTGCCTCCCATACCTTCACCCTTGACTCGGGGGCTTCTCGCTCCTTCTTTCGAGACCGCACCACACTCACTCCGCTTGGTCGGCCAGTTGCAGTCTCTCTGGTAGACCCCACTGGGGGTCCTGTCCTTGCTCACTTCTCCACTGTCCTCCCGTGTCCGGCGACCCCCTCTGGCACCCTGTCTGGTCTTTACCTCCCCTCGTTCTCTAGGAACTTGGTGAGTGGTGCTGACCTACAGGATGCGGGGGTTCACCAGTTCACTCCTGCGAGCCAGCGGGTGACCCACTGCACGGACGCTCGGACGGGTCGGCACTTGTCCACGTTTACACGTCGGCCGGGGTCGAGCCTATACACACTGACCGCTGATTCTCCTCCAGTAGCTGCGTCTGGTCAGGTAGCTGCATCGGGTCAGGTGTTTGCTGCAGCGTCCAGGTCTGGTCCTGAGTCTGCCCCATGCTCGTGTCGCCTCCTGTCTCACGAGACTCTCCTCTGGCACCACCGCCTTGGTCACCCCTCCCTGCTTCGTCTCCGAGGCATGGCCTCCCGTGTCCTTGTCTCTGGTCTTCCCCAGTCCCTCCCTCCCCTTCCTCCGGGGCCTGCCCCTACCTGCGTCCCCTGTGTTGAGGGGCGACAGCGGGCTGCCCCTCACTCCTCCCAGTTTCCTCCGAAAGAGGCCCCGCTACAGACGCTTCACATGGACGTGTGGGGCCCGGTCCGCGTCCGTGGACAGGGTCACGAGCGCTACTTCCTGCTGGTGGTTGACGACTACTCGCGTTACACCACAGTCTTCCCCTTGCGCAGCAAGGGTGATGTCACTGAGGTGTTGATCGACTGGATCCGCACAGCTCGTCTCCAGCTCAGGCAGAGCTTCGGCTCGGACTTTCCTTTTCTGCGTCTGCACTCTGACAGAGGTGGAGAAATCTCCTCTGGCCTTCTGAGAGCCTACTCTCGTACACGAGGCATCCGCCTGACCTTCACACTTCCGGACTCTCCACAGCAAAATGGGATTGCTGAGCGCCGCATTGGCATGGTCATGGACGTCGCCCGTACGTCCATGATGCATGCGGTTGCCCCCCATTTTCTGTGGCTGTTTGCAGTTCGGTACGCGGCGCATCAGATCAACCTTCAGCCCAGGCTCTCCATGCCGCAGACCTCCCCAGCTTTGCTGTGGATGGGGAAGGTTGGCGATGCGTCTGCGTTCCTTGTCTGGGGATCTCGGGCGTTTGTCCGCGACTTGTCTGCGGACAACCTGTCCCCTCGTGCTGCTCTCTGCGTCTTCCTTGGCTTCCCCCCTGACGCGCCAGGGTGGCAGTTCTACCACCCCACCTCTCGCCATGTTTTGTCCTCCCAGGACGTCACGTTTGACGAGTCGGTCCCCTACTACCGTCTCTTCCCCTACCGCACTCCGTCCCTCCCCCCGCCACCGCTCTTCCTTGTGCCAGGTCCCCCCCCGTTAGACCCCCTTCCCCCTCAGGATCCTGCCCCTTCAGGTGTGTCCCAGGTAGACGCAGTTGAGCCTGTGGAGGTTGCTGGTGACTCTGGTGCTGCTGAGGGTGCTGAGCCTGGGGCTGCTGAGCCTGGGGGTGCTACGACTGGGGGTGCTGAGCCTGGGGGTGCTACGACTGGGGGTGCTGAGCCTGGGGGTGCTACGACAGGGGGTGCTGAGTCTGGGGGTGCTATGCCTGGGGGTGCTGCGCCTGGGGGTGCTACGCCTGGAGGTGCTGAGCCCAGAGGTGCGGAGCCTGAAGGAGCTGGGCCTGCTCGTGTGGCGTCTGGCGGTGCTGTGCGTGGAGGTTCTCTGGGTGCTTCATCTCGGCGGGAGCCACTCTCTCCACAGGAGCTGCGCGAGTGGTTTGCCCGGCGTTGGAGGCGTGCTGCTGGAGCTGGAGGTTCTTCGGCTTCTGAGGGTGCTGGTGCCGCGGGTCCCGTTGGTGCTCGTACTGGGAGTACTGGAGCTGCTGGGCCTGCGGGTACGACTGGAGCTGGAGCTGCTCAGGGTGTTGGCGCTGAGGCTACTGCTGTCGGTCCTGGAGGCGGTCCTGCTGGGGGTACTACTGGTGCTGCTGGAGGTACTGGAGCTAGAGGTGCTGCTGGCGCTGGTGCTACCACTGGGGGTACTGGTGCTGTCCCTGCTGTGTTTGGAGTCCCTGTCCGGCCTCGACCGTACTTCGTTCCGCTCCTTGAGGAGGTTCTTGGTCTCCCGCCTTCTACTGGTCCTCCTCCTCCCTTAGAGTGTCCACAGCCTGTCCGGTCACAGTTACACTTACAGCCGCCCTCCCCACTGCCTGCTCCTTCTCCCTACACTGGTCCTATTGGAGGTCTTACTGAGCATCGTGAGCATGTGTCTCGCCTTGCGTTGCTTGTCCGTGCTGCTCGCACTAGTGGTCGTGGTTCGCGTCAGCATCCTTCTCCTGTCCCTGGCACGCACCCGATGTCTCTGCGTCCGTCCACTGCTCCTCTGCGTGCCCCTTTGCCTTCTCCTCCTGAGTCCTCTCTTCCTGCTCTTGCCGACCCGGAGTCGGACTCTCTTCGTGCTGCCAGTACGACTGTCACGCGTCTCCTTGCTACTGTTGTCACTGACCCTTCTTTTGAGTCCACTGCTGCGTCCGCCCTAGTTGCTGAGCTCGTCGACTTTGCTGCTCGCTGTCGTCTAGACTACGCTGCTAGTCTTGTTGCAGAGTCTGAGTCTATTTGTCCTCCGTCCGTCGGGGGTGAGTGTGCCCTTGGCACGGACGTCCTTGAGGACAGGCAGGAGGAGTTCCAGTGTTTGGCTGCTGCTTCACCTCATCTCGTGTCCGTACTGCTTACCCCTGAGGGAGACCCGGATGCACTTGACATCCCGACTCCGCGCTCTTACGCGGAGGCGATAGAGAGTCCCTACTCCTCTCAGTGGCAGGCAGCTATGGACGCAGAGATGGCTTCCTGGAAGTTCACAGGCACCTACGTTGACGAGGTTCCCCCGCCTGGGGCGAACATCGTCAGTGGCATGTGGATTTTCAGGGTGAAGTGGCCGCCGGGTTCTCCGCCTGTCTTCAAGGCACGTTACGTGGCTCGTGGCTTCAGTCAGCGGCAGGGAATTGACTACTTTCAGACCTTCTCTCCCACCCCGAAGATGACCACTCTTCGGGTACTGCTGCACATAGCTGCTCACCGTGACTACGAGCTGCACTCTCTTGACTTCAGCACTGCTTTCTTGCAGGGCAGCCTGCACGAGGACATATCTGCTGCACATATCTAGCTGCGCCGCCCACTTGGCTTCACTGTGAATTTTTCTCCTGGCACCCAGTGGAGCCTCCGCCGGCCAGTCTACGGTCTTCGCCAGGCACCGCGTGAGTGGCACGACACATTGAGGACTACACTTGCAGCTCTTGGGATTGCTCCCTCTACTGCCGACCCGTCGCTATTTCTGCGCACCGACACTTCTTTGCCGCCGTTCTACATCCTCGTGTATGTCGACGACTTGGTCTTTGCCACAGTTGACACTGCTGGACTCGCCCATGTGAAGTCCGAGCTACACAAGAGACACACGTGCACAGACCTGGGTGAACTGCGCAGCTACCTTGACTTGCAGATCACCCGGGACAGAGCACAGCACACCATGACCCTGACTGAGTCACACATGGTGCAGTAGGTCCTTCAGCGCTTCGGCTTCACGTACTCCTCGCCTCAGGCCACTCCTCTGCCTACTCGCCACTTGCTCTCAGCTCTGCCTTCAGATGAGTCCGTAGAGTCGAGTGGCCCGTACCCAGAGCTTGTTGGCTGCCTCATGTACCTGATGACCTGCACACGACCTGACCTTGCATACCCTCTTAGCATTCTCGCACGCTATGTTGCTCCTGGGAGACACCGACCAGAGCACATGGCTGCAGCGAAGAGGGTGTTGCGCTACTTGTGCAGTACGTTGGGCATGTGGCTTGTGCTTGGAGGGCAGAGTCGAGTGGTCCTCATTGGGCACGCAGACGCTTCTTGGGCTGACGACCAGGCTATGCAGCGGTCGGGTTACACCTTCAGCCTTGGTTCCGGCTGTGTTTCGTGGCGGGTTACCCGCTCGTCTTCTGTTCTCGGCTCCAGCTGTGAGGCTGAGATCTACGCAGGGGCCATGGCTGCATAGGAGCTTCGCTAGCTCACCTACCTGCTGACTGACCTCGGAGAGCCGCCTCGTTCTCCTCCAGTGCTGTACGTAGACAACAAGGCCATGCTGTCCTTGTGTCGGGAACAGAGACTGGAGCACAGAACGAAACACATTGCTCTTCGCTACTTCCTTGCTCGTGAGCTACAGCAGCGTGGTCAGCTGCGCCTTGCGTACGTGGCCTCTGAGGCCAACACTGCTGATATCTTCACGAAGGCACTTGCGCCTTGTGATTATCAGCGTTTCTGTACTCAGCTGGGTCTTGTGCCTGCCTTGCCTCACTTGCTCACCCCTTGACCTTGTTTGTACTGTTACACATATATATACACCTGCTCTTGTTTCTCTAGCCTTATATATATATATATATATGTAATCCTGCATGTGAACTGGCCTTGTGGCCTTGAACTTGTGCTCAGAATGTGTGGTGACGTTGTGATCCGCCATGAGCTTGCTTTGCCTTGCTTTTCTTGACTGGTCTTATGACCCCTTGCTCTCCCCCACTTTGCCTATGGGGGTGTGTCAAACTCATACACTATAGTCTGTGTAGGCTGTAGTGGGGTAGCTTGTAAAGGTTTGGTACTTATACTTCTCATGCTGCTCAGTTCAATCATTCTCCTCATTCAATTTCTCAGTGGGGCATAGGGATTGTTGGGCATGGCTCTTCGCACATTGAATGGATGGAGGCAATTATCACTTCTGATTGCTGTCTCAAAATCAAAACAGCATTTCTTATTTTCCAAGACCTATTTGTCATCGTCTATCGACCTGAAAGCTTCTTGCCGTTGCCACACTTAAAAAAGAATAATATATTAGGGCACCTTGGTCGGCGGTTTCACATGCTACCTAAGACAGGAGTGGAGTCGTTATAGACATGTCTCCTGCACCATTAGCTCCTCTACTCCCCAGGCTGCCTTGGCTGGTTATGGATCTGCCACTGCTGCCACTGCCAATGCTACTACCACCAGCGCTGCTGCTGCCACTGTTGTGGCTACAAGTGCCGTCCTCAAATGTAACCGTACGCTTGCCCTCACTTGGACTTGAAGCACTAGAGACATGCTTATCCCCACCCTCTGCGTTGCCTTGAGCATCAGCATCAGCTTCATCAGCAGGTGAAGCAGCAGTGGAATGGCAGTCAGTTGGTGAATCGGGGCTGGTTAGTGCCCTCACACCTGCCTTGCCAGCAGTTGGTGGTAGTGCCAGCACAAGCACACATGCCACCGCCTACCCAGGTGGTGAGGATGATGACATGAGGCATAGTGGGACGGGCCAGATGGGGAGGAGGGTAGAAAGAGAGGATGTTGGAAGGTGTGATGGTTGAGGTTCAAGGTGTGATGAGCAGTGAGGAGGAGTAATGTGCACAGCGATGAGGAGAAAAGACGCATTGAGGGGGGTAGAGGCATGGGAGCACGGAGGGCATGGGAGCATGGAGAGCACAGGAGGGGAGCATGGAGAGCACGTGGGCGTTTGCGTATGGTTGTTACCTCGACAATGCCTGCCACGATGATGCCGGCACCAGGCTGGTGGATGGGCGCCGAGTCCGACATGAAATACGCTGGTGGGGCAGTTGTGGGAGAGAAGGGGACGAGAAGCACAATAGGAGGGTGGAAGAGTGGGAGGGTGAGAGGGTGGGAGGATGGATTTAAGAGACGAGCTGCGAAGGCAGGCAAGCGAGAAACGTGAGGTAGTGAGAAGTGACGGGGGGAGGTAAGGGAACTGTCATCACTACAATACATTGCTGGGGGATCAAAAGTGGAGAGATCCTGACATTCGTGTGCACAGACAACCACTCTTACGACCTGCGCCCCTCCCTGACCCTCGCTGATACTTCTCCTGCTCTGCGCCTCGTCCCCATGCCCCCCTTCCTCCCATGCCCCCCTTCCTCCCATGCCCCCCTTCCTCCCATGCCGCCTAAGAAGACTGGAGACAGCACAATGTGCTAGGGAGAGGAGGATGCAGGATGGTGGGAGGGAGGGAGGGTTACCAGTGATGGGGTTGATGGTGAGCGGTGCGAGCACGGCAGAGAGAGACGACATGCCCGACACCACCCCCTGCAGCTTGCCCTGTGCGGCGAGGCACGCAGGCAGGGAAAGCAGGATGTGAGCGGAGGAGGGAACGAGAGGTGGTGCTCAGGGTAGTTTTAGTGATAGCTGTGATGAGAAAGGGAGGGAGGGACGAATGAAAGCGGGGAAAGTCAAATGGACCGAGGCACGAGCGCGCTGGAACATGCACACAGAAGCTTGCCCTCACAGGAATGCAGCTTCAATGAATAATCCCTCATGACTCACCTATCGGAGTTTTGACATGTCTCGGAACCACAACCACCCTTCCCCTGGCTCACCTGTTCCCTGGGGTCTGCAAGGTGTGAGACCATGCTGCCGATCTACATGGGGGAGAGGCATGTGACGAGTGCGAATGGACAATGGGGAGGAGAGGTGAAATGAAGGAGACGCGATGATTAGAGGCACTTGGCAGGCGTGAATCTTCCAGGCGTGATGAAAAGGCAACAAGAGTGAAAGCAATGGTGAAGGTGGAAGGCATGGAGACGCGTGTGGAGGGAGGAGAGGGGGGAGGAGAGGGCGTACCGAGGTTTGAGTGAGCGAGGAGACGAGGCTCATTGAAAGCGCGAGGTACACCACCTGCACACATGCCATGCCATGCCACACCACGTATCAGGTTGGGTGCAACGTGTGAAGCTTACCTACTGGGCAGGGCATGCAGGCGCGGCCAAGTGCACATTAAGGTCCACATGCGTTGCCATTAGTAAGCAGGTGCGGACGGATGGATGCATGGGATTGAGAAGTGGGTGCGGAATGGGTCATATTGGACTTGGGAGGGGGGGGGGGGAGGGGGAGGGGGGTTGCGGTTGAAGAGGACATACCCATGGCTTCCAGGCGAGGCCGTAAAGGACCATCTGTATTGTATGCATGGGAGGTACAGACAAAGACATGCACCGGCACAGGGAAAGGGTGAGGGGAATCGTCAGCAATTTCGACGTTTCCAATCCATGAATCACAGAAAATGCTGACTAATTCTGTTTGATTCACATGGTAGACCATCTGTGTACGTACATTGGAGCCACGTAGTATCTGTTTGCCATGGGATACTACGTGGCTCCACTCCAATGGCACGAGGGTGATCGGCATCGGCATGGTAGGGTAGGGGTCTGGCTGGCTCACTCACATGAAAGCTGTTGATGGAAATAGCGAGGATGAGGATGGAGCGAAGGGAGAGAATCTGGAGCAGCAGTGGCAGCAGCAGGAGCTGGCAGTGGGGGGGGGGGGAGAGGAGGGGAGAGAGGGAGACTATGGAGGTAAGGAGGCTGAAAATGGATGGTTTGCTACGCAGGCGTGACAATGCAGAGAGTGGGATATCATAATGGAATGGTGCGATCAACATTGGCTTGATGGAACTAGAATGTGTGTATGAGGTGCGGGTGAGAACTGGTGAACGTCTTCAGAGTGCTTCACAGCAGCACACCTGGGAGAGCACAGCAGCACACCTGGGAGAGCACGGCAAAGAGCCCGATGCCAGCGGTGTATAGAGAGAAGTCGTCCTTGTTCCAGTGGAACTTGGCCTTGAACACGTACTGGCGAGGGGTGAGGAAGGGGGGGAGGGAGATGCAGGATGGGATTAGATTTGAGACGTCTCCAAGCCAAGGTGAGCGTGTAGAGTGAGAAGTCGTCCTGACCAAGGGAACAGCTTTGCGAGCGACCGACGAAACAACCATGTGCTAGCTGAGAATCTTCTAAAGGGCACCACGAGGTTGCGGGCTGCACGTGGGCCTCGAGAGTGCGGGTTGCGGGGAGCAGGGGGCCTTGTGGGAAGGAAAACAAAGGAGGGCGACTCACAAACATGTTGGAGGTTTGGCCATTGTCTGCAAAGGCATGCAGGAAGGCCACGAGCAGCAGAATAGACACCAGCGGACTGGGTCATGCAGGGCGGAGGACACGGGAGGTGGGAGGGGAGGGAAGGAAATGGCGTTGGGATGAGACACTGCAACAGCAAGAGAGGAGTGAATTCAAGAAGATGGTTGAACAGGACACAAAGGGTGAACGGGTTCTCGCCAAAGCAGTGCCACTCCAGCAGTGAGAGGCAGGGAGAGGCAGGGAGAGGCAGGGAGAGGGCAGCAATGGCACCTGGAGGACATGACGTTGATGGCTTCTCTCAGAGTCGATCTGTTGCGCATCAACGCCACCGCCTTTCCTCCCCCCACGCTCCTCGCCCCTCCCCGCCCTGCACTCCCCCCTCCTCCTACCTCTTCCCCCTCACGTCCGCCTCCTTTGCCTCCTCCTCCCTTTTCCCCATTCCCTCCATCTCCACACCCTTCCAGCAGCCACGTCCGCTCCCCCACAATCCCCCCACTGCCTCCTCCTCCCCCTCCCCCGTCTGGACCAGGCCCCACGCCATCAACAGCCGCCACAGCAGCAGCGGCAGCAGCAGCGGCGCTACCACCATGCTCCTCGTCCGCAAGCGAGGCGGCCTTGCGCAGGAGGCGGTGGGAGGGCAGGGACTCAGGCACCATGATGAGAATGTACGCCCACCCACACGAGCACAGCAGCGTTGCCACCTGCACACACATGCATGCACGCATGTAATTGATTGAGGGGATAGGACACCACGAGTGCAAATGGTGGTGAGATAAACCATAAAAGCATGTGGGTCAGTCAGAGGCAGATGTGTGCAGGAAGTAGGAGTAGCAGGTGCAGGCCTCATGGTGATGCGGTGCTGCCGCAGAATTTTGCAGAGCGGCAAGGTAAGAGACTCAGCGGTGGTTGGCAATGGAGAGGAGAATCAGGTTGCACAATGAACAATCACGTTGGAGAGAAGACATAAGAGTACGGGATGACTATACTACAGTACAAAAGCAGCGTCATGTCTGTGCGTGGTTGGGTGTGCGCGTGGTTTCGTGTGTGTGTGGGTGCGTGCGTGTGAGTGTGCGTGTGAGCGTGGGTGTGAGCGTGCGTGTGTGCATGTGTGGGTGGGGCGCACATGGAAGGTGATGGCAGGAGGCACGAATCGGGCGACGAGCGGGCCAGCGAGGAAGCCAAAGGCAGTGGTGCCGGAGATGGCTCCAAACGCCGCCGCCCTGTTGGCCTCTGCTGTCACGTCCGCCTGCGAAGGAGGGAGTGCCGGGATGCGTGAGGGAGAGGGCGAGCAAGAGAGGGAAGGAGACAGCGAGCGAGAGAAAGGGGAAAATACATAAGAAAAGGAACAAGGGCGAGAATTGCAGGGCAGGCAGCAGTGGTGCAAAGAGAGCAACTGATACGTCAGGGGGAGGGTAAAGAAGAGGCAGGAACAGAAGGGGAAACAGCGGGGGAGAAGGAAAGAGGAGCAGTAGCAGCAAATGCCGAACCGTGGAAGGTACAACGGAGAGAAGGGGTAGGAGAGGAGTGGGAATGGGTTCAGCATGGTTCAGTGGCCCACCACATAGGCGTAGATAAGATTGAGCCATGCAGAGCCGCCCAGGGCAGACCCTGCCGTCTCTGCTGCAAAGAACAGGTACACGGCCAGGCGACTGGAGCTGGTAGCGAGGATGGCTGTAAGGGGTACGGGAAGTTGCAGTTTGGGGCGAAAAAGGGAAAGGGCCAAGGGGCAAACCGTGACGATTATGGGGAAGCAACGAAGGTGAGGGGAGTGGGGGATGGGGGGTGTTGGGGTGGTGGGGTGGTGGAGCGGGAAAAGAGTGGGAGGTCGGCGAAGAGAAGCTGAAGTTAGACAAGGGGAAAACACAGACGAATGAACAGAGTGGTAGACCTGACAGCCGATAGGCAAGGTGAAGAGAAGGAGCGGCGAGGGCCCACCGTAGGGGATGGTGATGCCTGCGATGCCGAGCAGCAGGAAGGGCTTGCGACCGTGCTTGTCGGAGAGGCCTCCGAATATGGGCGCCACGATGATGTTCGCTATGCCGCCTATCTGCCATGCCGCGAGGGACGGGCGCGAAGCGGGGGCGTAAAACGGGGATGTAAAAGGACGGCGTGACGGGAAAGTTTGAGGAGAGGGCGTTGGGGGAGGGCGCGGGGAAAGGCATAGGCCTTAACGTTCACTCATTCAGAGAGCACGGGGCGACGCGCACGCCCAATTGGCACGACGACGCGCACGCACGCCCGTACCGTGGCGCGGCCGGCGGAGAGCATGAGTGCCTCGGGGCACTGGTCGGTGGGGCAGAGCGCTGAGACGATGACGTCTAGCATGGAGACGAGCGCGACGCACAGCCCCATGGCCACCAGGATCATGCCCGCCATCAGCGGCGCCAGCTGCGCGTACACCGCGCGCATCTCCGCTAGCCGCATAGCGCCGAGGACGGGACGCACGGATCGGACGGGTGGTGAAGGGGAGATTGTGGACGGTGGATATGAGCGGGTGGTTGGTGGGTGGACGTGGGGAGCTGCGATTGGCGGGAACGTGGTGGGTGTGTGGAGGGATGGTGTAGAGTTGAGAATTGCGACAAGCACGGGCTTCGAGGAAACGGGAAGAGGTGAGAGACCCTCCCTGGAGCTTCTGCAGCTTCGGTCTGTCGGTAAGGGGCTCAAATGCGCTTAGACGCCTCACTAGGTGATCACGTTACGGGATAACTGTCTGAGGAGGTGGTGGAAACATTGGTTTTCTAGATTGTAAGTTATGTTCGCCGATTCTAACAGAAAGGAGCTCCAGAGCAGACCGAGTGAGGCAAGACGACGACAAGACGGCTCAAATGCTTCGCACACCTTTCACGCCTCGACTCGGCTTTTGGCTTTGGCTTGCTGTCACAGCATTTCCAGTTGCATCAGGTGACGAGCTAGGACGCGCGAGTCTCAGGAAAATTGCGACGAAGAGGAAACACCTATCTTCTCCAGGGGCATTAACGAATAAAACACCTCGCAATGTTCTCAGTTACTTCCTCGCAACACCCTTGATGGCGGGTAACTCCCAGCTAACCTGTTTCGTCTAGCTTGTCTCGTCAAAAAATTGTTTGATGCTCTTTTGTCGCAAGCCGATGAGGGGGAAGAACACAAACCGCAAACCAGGGTGGAGTGGTGCTGATTGGATGAGGTCTACGATGTGGCCGAACCACACCAGCTGTTTGCCTACGGAACGCCCACGAGTTTAGTCTGGTACACGTGGCGTAGCGACCTAAAGCCTACAGAAAAGCCAGCTGTTGTCATGTTATTGGGTATGCCTGCTTGCAGCTACCAAGCAAATGTTTTTCCGTCGCTCAAGGATGCCTTTTCGTTTCTATTCCCAGGTCATAAGCGCCTCGACCGTAGAACTCAAGAGCGGGGAGGAGAGTCGCTTACAAACCGGGCTTTGGTGGGGTGTGATGATGAGAAAACCCGGAATGAAATGCCTACCATGAATCCAACTGGATTTTACGGTCAGAAGGGCAGGGGCGGAACGGAAGCAACAAGGTATTGGAGGCCAGCATCTAAACATGTCAGCAGTGACGCCATCGTGTACTCGATTTACGACAAGCAGGGAGGGGGATACTAACAGGGGATGTCGATGTACCAACTGCCAAACCTCGTACGGTACAATCCACAATCTACTTCATCCAAAAGGAAGAAACTGAGCTAATGTATGACATAAACCAGATGGGCGAACATGAAATTGTTATTGTAGATTAGGCCTAATCGACACTACTAATGTGTTTTGTGGTTAGGGATATTGGTATTAGCATAATTAAGCACCTTCGTATGCATGTTAGTCACCATCATAAACACTCCTGATGATTTCAAGCTCTTCCTCCAGAGGCCTGCAATTTAGAGAGGCTTGTCTAACTCTTGCATCTAACCGTTTAGCTACTCTCTCATGCTTTCCACCCATGTATTCCCTCTGCAGAGTTTCGAGCTGAACTAGCACCTCGCTCATGCTTGGACGATTGGACACGAGCCTTGCAACACATGAAAGAGCCATCTCCACTAGCTTGGAGGCCATGGCGTGTGGTGCATTGAGATCCGCATTCACAACAGCTGCAGTGTTCCCTCTCTCCACCTGTTGCTCCACCTGTCAAGAATGGGACGGAGACAAAGGGGTGAGTGAAAGAATGTGGGATTGGAAACAGGGGTGAAAGGACAGGGAAGGGACGGGTCGAGGAGGACAACAAGGGAAGGGATAGAAAAAGTGGAAGAGGGAGAGGGAAAAAGGGGAATGGAAGGTTTTTCGGAAGTCAAGTGAGAAGAAGAACTGAGATATGAATAAACACACCCCACATACACACAGCTGGGGAAGAGGGACAATGGTTGAAAGAAAGGAGCAGCAGCAGCGGCAGCAGCAGCATACCCATTCCTTGATGTTGGTGTGCGAGCCATCTTCAGATAGCAGCACAACATGCTTGCATGCCAGCAGCTCCATCATCAGCACTCCAAAGCTGGGGGGAGAGGGAGGGAGAGGAACAAGGAGAGGACAAGGGCGGAAAGGAGAGTGTGTGGACGGCAGAAAGAAGATGCCAAACAAGACGAGAGGCAGGTGTGCAGGAGTGGGCAGGAAACAGGTTGAACAAATCAGTGCTGACGAGCAAGAACTATGGGCAACAAAGGCACTGTAGTGAAAAAAGAGTGGAGTCAAGTGAAAGGAGGGATGACAGACAAGGGAAAGAGCATAACTGGGCAGCAAGTGCACATGTGGCAGTGGCACCACACGCCTTCGCACCTGTACACGTCAGCACTGGGCGTGGCCTTGCGAGTGATGGAGTAGACAGGGTCCACATAGCCCGGTGTGCCCATCACCCGCGTGGACTGCACTGAACAGCTGCCCTCGCCCATCCTCAGCAACCCAAAGTCTGAGACTTTTGCCTGCGGGACCAAGGAGAACAGGGAAACGCACAGCAGATCGGCAAGGGGAAGAAAAGCAAGAGACCCCATAAGGAGAGAAGCAGGTGGACGGAAAAGGAAGTGAGCACAAGCTTTACCATGAAACGTACAGTGACCCTGTCTGTCCCATGCGACTTGGTGGTCACAGTGAGGAGCACGGAGTCGCATGGTACAGAGTCACTGCTCGTCTTGCTTCAGCCATCATGTTGGCTTCGCTAGATGGGAGCTGCTGGGGGAGGGAAGGCACCTGCATGTGTTTGTCGAGCAGGATGTTAGCGGGCTTGATGTCGCGATGCACGATGCCAAAGCTGTGCAGATACTCCAACCCGCGCGCTGCTCCGATGAGAATGTCCAGCCGCTGCTGCAGGGTCAGAGGTGTAACTTTACCTGCGGAACAAAACAGAGGCGAGAACGACACGTGGGGGGAAAAGGAAAGACGGATCAGGGGAAAAAAACAGAAAGAGCAGGAGCAGCAAGACGATCCCACTTGTGCAACACAATCCACTCTTCACTCACACACCTGTGTGTCCTTTTGAGGCAGGCAGGCACCACAGAGTCCCCAGGCTAGCTTGCTGTCTTAACTGTGGCTTCCGCGCTGACTTTTGAGTCGACTCAACAGTCAGCTCCTTTTGAGGCAGGCAGGCAGGCACCACAGAGTCCCCTGCTTGCTTGCTGCCTTACCTGTGGCTTCCGCGTGCATGCGTTGGTATAGGTCCCCATTGGGCATGAACTCATAGATGGCGATCTGCTCCATGTGCTCCGCTGCCGCATCGTAGTCCATGCAGAACCCCAGCAGCCGCACCAGGTGAGGGTGGTGTTTCGATGCCATCTCGTTGATCTGCGAGCGCGGAGGAGAGCGCGGGAGTGATACAGTGGGATGGAGGAAAAGGGTCGAGGGGAAAGGGTGGGAACGTGGCGCCTATCCCATTCCTCTCACTTCTCTTTGGAAAACATTGGTGAGCACTACAGTCGCAGCCCCTAGTCCAATCCACATCCCATGAGTGTCTCTCTGCTCACCTCGAACCGGAAGTCATCGGAAAGCACTGCAACCTCAGCCCCCCCTACTCCCATGTACATCCCATTCCTCGTACTCACCTCGCGCCGAAATTCATTGGTGAGCACTGTACTTAAGCCCTTGCTTTCATCCCCATCCCATTCACATCAGCCATATCCCATCCTATTGTTCTGTGCTGACCTCTCGGCGGAAGTCGTTGGTGAGCACTTTGGCGCGCTTGACAGCCCAGGGCGTGCACCCGTCGAGGGGGCTCACTCCGCGGTAAACGTCGCCAAACCCGCCGCTGCCGATTCGCCTCTCCGCAGCCCACCCGCCCGTCGCCCGTACCACCTCCGCCACACTCACCTGCTGGCACAGCAGCGGCGCCAGCGGGAGCGCGGAGGAGGAGGGAACGACCACAGGAGGAGGGGGCGGTGGTTGGGAAGGAAGACTGGAGGACAGATCACTCGGGGGGGGGAGACCAGCACCAGCCCACGAGTCAAGATGAGCCTGCCCCATATTGTCTTCTGCCGCGCCACCGTTCCCTTCCTCCAGTTTTCCTGGTTGTTTCTCTGCCTCTTCCTCCATCTTCCTCAACTCCTTTGCCACGTCATCCCGCACAATCTCCAGCTCAGCAAGGATTCTTCCCAGGGAGGGCCGGGAGGACGCAGGCATGGATGTGCATGCAAGTCCGGCACGAGCCAGCTGCACCAGACTGGGTATAAGCGCATTCGGTATGGGCACACTCAGTGGAGTATCGACAGCGCCGCCAGCTGTTGTGCCTGCAGTGCTGGTGCTGGCGGCACTCGCAAGCATGCTGATGCTCGTGGTGCTGCTGCTAGGGATGCTGGCGCTGGTGTTGGCGGTGGTGTGTGGGAGGCAGGAGGAGGCGAGGGCGGGATCAAATAAAGCAGCTAAGTTGTTGGCTTGGAGCTGCGTTTCAATCTGGTGTGGGATGAAGGGGAGGAAGAGGAGGCAAGAAGCCTAAGGGTGAATGCAAGTGGGTGGAGTGGAAGTAAGACGCTGACATCGGACCCGAAACCATGAACCCTGACTGAACCACAGTATGATCACAAAATAGGTGGGTGGATGTTGGGAGGAGCCAAAAACACCAAGGGCAGCGATGCAGAGAATAAAGCGGCTTTTGGCCCTTGGCTGGGATAAAAGCAAGATAGAAAGAAACGATGCCTAATTAGTGGGGGGGCTCTCTCCTGCTGCCTTACCACCGCAGCAAACAGATGGAATATGGGAGCTTCTGAGAGCCGTCCGGTCCGGGGGGGCCCGCTTGGAGCATTGCCAATGATGGAGGCACTGTGCTGACATTCCACAGAACACTACACTCTCACACTCTCACTCACCTCCACTCGCACGCACCCTTGACATTTTCCAGTGAGCAGCACTTGCGTAGGAGTAGGTTTAAGCAAGTAGGAAAATAAGGATTGAGTCGACTCAAATTTCTTAGCCTAGTTTTGAGTCGACTAAAAACATTCCACAGAACACAACACTCTCACTCACCTCCACTTGCACGCAGCCACCCACCCCAATGCTCCACTCACTCGCACGCTCGCACCACCTCCACGCACACTCCCACAGCGCACACTCACACTCTCTCTGAAAGTATGTGCCGTGGTTTGTCTTGGAGTGAGGGAACGGCGGCCTGACAGCAACTCCAGCATCACCACCCCCAGACTGCATGCACAACCACAAGGCGCACATGGTGGGTGGGTGGGCAAAAGAGGGAGGGGAAGAGGAGCAGGACATAGGGGCGAAGAGAGGGATGGAGAGGGAACGAGTGTAGGGTGGTATTGCAGAGCAGAGAGTTGAGAGTAAGGGATGCTGTTGAAAATGAGAAAACGAGAAAAACGAGCACTGCGGCTAGGAGAGAAGGCAGGCACTAGGAGTGGTGGTAACCAGATGGTGCTGTGCTGTGGAAAGCAACGGTATGGCACCGTAACCTCGTGCAGGGGAGGCAGGCAGAGGCGGCAGAGTGAACGGAGTGGACGGATGGGGCAGAACGGGGAGAAGGAGGGGCACGGCCGAATTAGTGAGAGTGGCAGGTGGGCACCTGTAGAGGTCGTTGGTGGTGGAGGGCTCGTGAGAGAGCAGCAGGTGCGGGTCCACATAGCCACGCACGCCCGTGGTCGGCACTAACCGCTCGCCCTCACTCACTGCCGCACTGCTCGCCACCGAGTCAAACCCCGCGATCTTCGCCTGGCATTGTGTTGCGTGTGGTGGTGCGCAGTGCAGTGCGGTGTAGTGAGGTGAGGTGCGGGGCGGTGGGCACAGGGTAACCGCGTGGTGTGAGCGGGAGGGACGAAAAGGTATCCGTACAGCATCGGTGTTACAGGATAACCCAGGAGAACCGATTCACTCAGTGGATTCTGCTCCACAAGAGTTCAGCAAAATGTCTGTGTGTGTGTGCGTGTGTGTGTGTGTGTGTTGCGTGCGTAGTGCCCACATGGGCCACAGCACAGCACAGCACACACTTACGCGCATGCGGGCATCCAGAAGAATGTTGGAGGGGTTGAGACCGCGGTGCACGATGCCAAACGTGTTGAGATACTCCAGCCCGCGCGCCACCCCTATCAGAATGTCCAGCCGCTGCTGCAGGGACAAAGGCGTGCCAGTGCAACCTGCAAGGAGAAACACACGCCGGAAGGTAGAATGATTCAGAATGATGGGGCAAAAGCCAAGCCAATCCACCTTGGGGAGGCACATGTCATGTCATGTGACAGATGCCAGGCTAGCAGAAGCAGCACAGCAAGTATACTGCAACACTGGTGGAGAACAGAGAAGCATTTACACGCTTGGAGTTTCCACGAGCACTGAGCACCACACTTGCGGGGACACGGAGTTGCTAAATTGGAGGTGTGCGTGTGTGTGTGTGTGTGTGTGTGTGTGTGTGTGTGTGTGTGTGTGTGTGTGTGTGTGTGTGTGTGTGTGTGTGTGTGTGTGTGTGTAGCCCCTTACCCGGACCAAACTTGTCGACAATGCTGCCGCCAGTCATGAACTCATACACGGCCACCTGCTCCCTGCGCCCCTGCTCGTCCTGCTCATCGCAGTACCCCAGGAGCCGCACCAGGTGAGGGTGGTTCTTGTGCCCCATCTCCGCCACCTGGGGGAAGGCAGGCGAAAGAACGGACGCACAGAGCTTCTTTTCACGTCGCATTGCTTGGCTTCAGAACCAATCAAGGAGATGCTTTTGTAAGAAAGAGAGAGCGAGGCAGCTACTTTAAAGGCCACAGGTTGGAGATATTCCTGTGGCAGTATTGGAGACTCAGTGGGAGAAAGTGAAAGCAGTGCTCTTGATGGAAATCGTGAGAAAGGGACACTTTAAGAGACTGCTTCATCTCACCCCCGCGTCCCCTTCCTACTCCCTCCTCCTTTCAGCCGCCATATCTTATGCTTCCCCTCTCTCTTCCCCACCCCACTCTCTTCCGCACCATCCCGCCGCCACCAAACCTAATCGACCGCGCCGTCTCCCCCTCCCCCGCACCTCGGCCTGGAACTCGTCGGTGCAGCGCAAGCGGCGCTTGAGGAGCCACGGAGTGACGCCATCGCGCGGGTCTACGCCTTTGAACAGCTCGCTGTAGCTGCCCCTCATCAAGTGCAACTGCGGCGACCAGTCGCTCGTCGCGGCTACCATGTCAGCTAGGGAGAACCGCACGCACGCGCCCTGGATGGGGGCGGCTGAGACGGGGGTGGGGGGAGCGGGAAGAGGGACAAGACGACATTAGGGGAGACGTTAAGAAAAAAGGTGAAGCGGAAAACGTAAGGAGAGGGTTGGGACATGAACAGGTCGGTAGAAAGGTAGGAATGGGATCGAGCGGAAAGAGCAGATAGAGTGCGGGTGGCGGGGAGATGTGGAAAGCGGAACAGGTGCCAGAGAAATTGCGACATATTGAGGCGTCTAGACTAAGCGTGCCTTGCCTGCTGCTGCGTCCGCTTGCTTGGCCCTGCCTGTTTGATTGGCCTTATTCTCGGCCTTATTCTCGTGCTTGGCCTTATTCTCCGCCTTATTCTCGTGCTTGGACTTGTCCGACTTGCCAGTCATCTTCCGATTCCTCATCCACGCGAGTACGCCACTATTCAACGCCCACATCCCAGTACTAAGCGCGCTACGCCACACACACGGCCTCGCAGCGTCAGAAACAGATTAACTCGAAAGAAACTAATAACCAAGAAACTCTCGTCACATAAGCGGTCATGAGGCTGATTAGTGGATAATTAGAGCGAAAACCTAACTTAACCAGGGTAACTCGGAGCGCGTCCATTCTCGCCGAAGAAACCTCACAGGAGTGCGTTCTTGACGATAGGCTGGAAAGTCGCTAAGTGTTTCTATTGCTGTACATAATGTTCCCGTAGATGGCGTTCCTGAGATGGGCGAACTTCCGAACTTCCCCCAGCAACAGTGCACTGAACACGTGCCTAAGGCATGGCAGCAACGGGGGGAGTGAATCTGGACGTCGCATGAGTTGGGCGGTGAGGGTCGTGCGATTTTTGCGCATGGCAACTTCCCCTGACGCCCAACGTCAGAACCACTGACGGTTTTGACTGTCACAGGACCGAGTCGTGACTGGGTTTGGCACGTTCAGAAAGGTCAAAGAATACCGTGACAAATGGAAAAGGAACAAGGCTCGACGATGAACGTCGTAAGGGTTGCGTAGAGTTGTTTCTAGTGGTATAAGAAACATATGAAAGAACATTATTTATTATACTAATGGAGAAGACATATTAGAGAAAAGTATAATTAAGTACATGTTTGTACGCTTGTCTAGTATTAAAAGGCAACGATTTGGACAGTGATGATATTTTTTATTATAATAAACATTTTGTTTTAGCTCCATCTTACTATATTGCACCATCCATTACTATAGTGGGTTCGTTGTTTTCAGCTGTAGTTTGATAACGTAGTTATGCGTGTGTTTTACGTGACACATCTTTCAAATTAGTATCTTGCTCATGTTTCTACATATACACCTAAATGAATTATTGTCCATGCCAAGTTTATTCTGCCCTAACAATACAATCACCTTAACAATGTGAATCGAATCTGCCCCATACATTACACACTATTCTAACGAGAAACAACTGTATTTTTTCCTTTCACACTTAACTCCAATTTGACGCTCCTCTCTTCTTGGTTCTTGGTTCTTGGTTCTTGATTTTGGTTCTTGGTGAGTTCTTGGTTCTTGGTTCTTATGACTACATAGCTATCCCGTTTTCTCCAATCCCAGTATCCTCTCCCTCCCATCCCGCCAGCGCCTCTCCCTCCTCCCAACCGCCGTCGCCTCTCCCTCCCATCCCGCCATGGCCTCTCCCTCCCGCCCCGTCATAGCCGCTCCCTTCCTCCTCGCCGTCGCCTCTCCCTCCCTTCCCGTCGTCGCCTCTGGTGGGTGCACGAGCGTGAGCGCGTGTTGCTGAACGACCTCGCGTTGTTTTCACCGTTGTCTCAGGTGCGTAGACGTTTCTCGGACCTTTTTACCTCCCTCCTTTGCTTAGGTTTTCTACTTTCTTCGTGAGTTCTCTATGCCAAGATTTCTTAGCATTACACTCCCATTGCTCTCCTCTTTGGTCGCCTAATGCTCTGGCGCCTAGCGCGCTGGTGCCTAACGCGCTGGCGCCTAGCGCGCTGGCGCCTAGCGCGCTGGCGCCTAGCGTGCTGGCGTCTAACGCGCTGGCGCCTAGCGCGCTGGCGCCTAAGGCCCTGGCGCCTAAGGCGCTGGCGCCTAGCGCGCTGGCGCCTAGCGCGCTGGCGCCTAGCGCGCTGGCGCCTAGCGCGCTGGCGCCTAGCGCGCTGGCGTCTAACGCGCTGGCGCCTAGCGCGCTGGCGCCTAGCTCGCTGGCGCCTAGCGCGCTGGCGCCTAGCGCCTGGCGCCTAAGGCGCTGGCGCCTAGCGCCTGCGCCTAAGGCGCTGGCGCCTTGTGCTCTGGCGTCTAGCGCGCTGGCGCCTAGCGCGCTGGCGCCTAGCGGCTGGCGCCTAACGCGCTGGCGCCTAGCGCGCTGGCGCGTATGGCGCTGGCGCCTAGCGCGCTGGCGCCTATCGCGCTGGCGCCTAGCGCGCTGGCGTGTAACGCGCTGGCGCCTATCGCGCTGGCGCCTAAAGCGCTGGCGCCTAAGGCGCTGGCGCCTTGTGCTCTGGCGTCTAGCGCGCTGGCGCCTAGCGCGCTAGCGCCTAGCGCGCTGGCGCCTAGCGGCTGGCGCCTAAGGCGCTGGCGCCTAGTGCGCTGGCGCCTAAGGCGCTGGCGCCTAGCGCGCTGGCGCGTATGGCGCTGGATCCTAGCGCGCTGGCGCCTATCGCACTGGCGCCTAGCGCGCTGGCGTGTAACGCGCTGGCGCCTAGCGCGCTGGCGCCTAGCGCGCTGGCGCCTATCGCGCTGGCGCCTAGCGCGCTGGCTTCTAAGGCGCTGGCGCCTAGCGCGCTGGCGCCTAATGCGCTGGCGATTAGCTCGCTGGCACCTTGCAGCGTGCCGCGCGCTGGTGGCTTGTGCGCTGCTTGTTGCGGCAGTGCGCTGGCGAATTCCTGCAGCGGCCTTGCAGCGCTGCGCGCTGGCAAATTATTGCGCACGCCTTGCTCCAGTGAGCTCACGCCTTGCTCCAGTGAGCTCACGCCTTGCTCCAGTGAGCTCACGCGTTACTACAGTGAGCTCACGCGTTGCTGCAGTGAGCTCACGCCTTGCTGCAGTGAGCTCACGCCTTGCTCCAGTGAGCTCACGCGTTGCTGCAGTGAGCTCACGCGTTGCTGCAGTGAGCTCACGCCTTGCTGCAGTGAGCTCACGCCTTGCTGCAGTGAGCTCACGCCTTGCTGCAGTGAGCTCACGCCTTGCTGCAGTGAGCTCACGCGTTGCTGTAGTGAGCTCACGCCTTGCTGCAGTGAGCTCACGCCTTGCTGCAGTGAGCTCACGCCTTGCTGCAGTGACCTCACGCGTTGCTGCAGTGAGCTCACGCCTTGCTGCAGTGAGCTCACGCGTTGCTGCAGTGTGCTCACGCGTTGCTGCAGTGAGCTCACGCGTTGCTGCAGTGAGCTCACGCCTTGCTGCAGTGAGCTCACGCCTTGCTGCAGTGAGCTCACGCCTTGCTGCTGTGAGCTCACGCCTTGCTGTAGTGAGCTCACGCCTTGCTGCAGTGAGCTCACGCGTTGCTGCAGTGAGCTCACGCGTTGCTGCAGTGAGCTCACGCCTTGCTGCAGTGAGCTCACGCCTTGCTGCAGTGAGCTCACGCCTTGCTGCAGTGAGCTCACGCCTTGCTGCAGTGAGCTCACGTGTTGCTGCAGTGAGCTCACGCCTTGCTGCAGTGAGCTCACGCCTTGCTGCAGTGTGCTCACGCGTTGCTGCAGTGAGCTCACGCCTTGCTGCAGTGAGCTCACGCCTTGCTGCACTGAGCTCACGCGTTGCTGCAGTGAGCTCACGCGTTGCTGCAGTGAGCTCACGCCTTGCTGCAGTGAGCTCACGCATTGCTGCAGTGAGCTCACGCGTTGCTGCAGTGAGCTCACGCCTTGCTGCAGTGAGCTCACGCCTTGCTGCAGTGAGCTCACGCCTTGCTGCAGTGAGCTCATGCCTTGCTGCAGTGAGCTCACGCCTTGCTGCAGTGAGCTCATGCCTTGCTGCAGTGAGCTCATGCCTTGTTACGGCAGCCCGCTTGCTCCTCTGCCAGTGCCTTGCTGCAACTCTCTGGCACCTTGTAGCATGGCGATGCCCAGCTCGTTGCACCAAGGCACCTTGCTCGCTGGAGCCTTGCTGCACACCAGCGTGGTGTGCGTGACCCCAGGGGATCTTTGCTTCAAACCACGCTTGTGAGTCGTCGAATTCGGTTATCTTTTGTACTTATCATATTTCTTTTAAGTTCCATTTCACAATCAAGTGCGTGTTTGTCATTGAATAGTTCACTCCGTTTTCCGACTACAATTCATTTTCTGCTTGACCTGTTTGTTTTGCAAGGTGTGCGAGACGCGTTGTGGGGAGCAGGGAGGGATCGAGAGAGAAGACAATGTGGAAATGGGTGGGAGGAGATTTCGATGGTAGAGGGAGAGGAAGGAAGGTAGAAAGGGGGAGTAAGGGGGGGGGACAAGGTAGCAGTGATTGATACATAATTAACTTATTGCAACTCTTTGTTATGCTTGTCTGCTCCCAAACCTATTTGTGTATGTATGTGTGTGCGGTGCGGGTGTGTTTGTGCGTGTGTGTGTTTATGTGTTGTCATTGTGTTTGTTTCACTGGGGTTTTACGCGCGTTTGCATTCGTGTTTGTGGGATGTGTGTTTCAAAGTGTGGTGTTAGTATGTGTTATGTATGCAATTAGAGGTTGTTAATCGTCTTTGGGGCAGCGTGTTTTCGCTGTTTCAACGACCCCATCAACCTCTGTTGCTGCATGATGCATTTTAACATTCATTTTGAAGCATTCACTCCACCTCATACCTTGTTGTTCATTTGTACAATTGCATTCGTTCATGTCGATGCCAGAATGTTATGTCCGGCCGTACAATCCGCCGTATTTATCGACGAGGTTGTGACGGTCGAGCAAGTTCATGGTTTCAACATGATACGTACGTGCTTACATGTTTTGGGGATCTCATTCAAGAGTGTTTTTTATCCACTCTTTGAGGCATCCGTTTGAACACAGTTTCAAAACATTCAAACGAGTGCTCCAAAAAGTGCGTAAATAACACTCTTTGAATGATATCCCCAAAATGTGAAACCAAATATAAAGGGTTGCTACGCAACCCAAAAACAGGCGCCAATCCAACAGCAGAAAGCAATTTCGTTTCACGGTCACCACACAGCACATGCTCTACAACCTACATAACCAACCTACCCAGCACGCTCGGAATCGCCACTTTCTCACAATGACACACATTCTACCTCACATAGCACTAGCCATAGCAAGCACCATAGCATGGATGCAAGCAGACGACGAGGAGTTTGACGCCATCCTCATGTATATGGCCTGCACAGCCATAGACCAACAAGATGCTGTTGCTCGCAGAGAAAAATTGCAGAGGCTGAAGGAGTACAGAAACGCCCGGCAATCAGAATGGATGGATCGTATTGAAAGCATG